AGGAGTCCCCAGGTCAAAGGACTAGAACAGATGTAAGACAGTCCCAGGACACTGGTATTTAAGAGGTCATAAGATCAGGCAGACTGGCAGAGGGGTTAGGGGCGATCACGCAGGCAGGCAAGGGAGCAGTTATGAACGAGCAGTCCCGGATTGCATTAGGGTTGCCCGACTGCCACTATAAGCCCAATATGGCCTTACTGGTAGTCAGACATCCCCCGAGGAGTCCTGAATTGCTAAAGGGTGCAGGCGGGGCTGAGGGGACCCTCATCCTCCGCATCCCCCCTCCCCCCATGCACAGATTTCATGAAATGGGCCTCCAGTAAAATATACTGATTCTCTACTGAAATATCTTATCATATCCTCGTTCAGTGCCATCATTTTGGCAGTTTGAAACTAACCACAATGAGAGTATTTACATGAGGGAAATTAACAAAGATTATGACTTTGACTTCACTAAATGTATTATTGAATGCTTAGACTTATAAAAGAGTGGTGGAGAATGTTAACCATGCAGATAAAACCTGTAAATATAAGGTACATTTGGGTTTAAATTGTACACAGAATAAAAATTGAGAAAATTAGCTTTCCTTACAGTATTCAAAACCTAGTTCCATATAGCAAAGAAATCAGGTGAGTTATAGAGGAATGAGTGAAATTCAAATATATATCTCAGATTGTGAACTGTCTTCATATTGGTTAAAATAATAAATTATTTTGAAATAGGCAAAAATTCTGAGCCAACATTTTAACAAAGGAGATAAAGACAATAAAATAAATGTATGAAAAAATGTTCACCATCAGAAATCCTTATGTAATAGAATTAAAATGAAAGAAATTTCACATATACACAACTCCAGGCCTACTATTTTAAAAGATTAACCACCAAATGTGATGCCAGGGTTGAACAAAACTGGAATTTTTATATACTATGCCTGGACAGGAAGGCAAAGTGCATGTCCACTTTAGATCACAGTTCTAGAAGTGTGAAACATCAACCTACACTGCAAATTTTGGATTAGTAAAAGATCTATCTATAAAAATAACTGAACACAAATATTCCAGATTTATTTATAACTAGTGGCCCGGTGCACGAAATTTGTACACAGGGGAGGGGGTGTTCCTCAGCCCAGCCTGCACCCTCTCCAATCTGGGACCCCTCAAAGGATGTCCTACTGCTGGTTTACAGGGATCGGGCCTAAACTGGCAGTTGGACATCCCTCTCGCAATCTGGGACTGCTGGCTGCTAACCACTCACCTGCCTGCCTGACTGCCCCTAACCAATCTGCCTGCCAGCCTACTCGCCCCCAACTGCCCCCTACCACCAGCCTGATCATTCCCAACTGCCCTCCGTGCCAGTGTGCTTGCCCCCATCTGCCTCCCCTGTCAGCCTGCTCACCCCCAACTGCCCCCTGCTGGCCTTCTCGCTCCCACCTTCCCTCCCCACTGGCCTGCTCACCTCCAACTGCCCCCTGCTGTCCTGATCACCTCCAACTAAACCCTACTGATGACCTGATTGCCTCAAATTGGTCCCTCTCCTGATCTGCTTACCCCCACTAGCACCACCCCCACCAGCCTGATCACCCACTGCCTGCCGTACACTCTTGGCCTATAATCACCACTACCTCGCGCCGCCACGATGGCTTTATCCAGAACTTCCAGAAGGTCTCCTGGAAGGTCTCCCAGTCTAATTATCATATTACCATTTTATAAGTATATATACAGGCCTGGTGCATGGGTGGGGGCCAGCTGGTTTGCCCTGAAGGGTGTCCTGGATCAGGGTGGGGATTCTCTTGGGGGCATGGGGCGGCCTAGGTGAGGGGCCTCTGGTGGTTTGCAGGCCAGCTACAATGCTATAGGGTGAGGATCACTGCTGGGGGGCGTGGGCAGCCTGGGTGTGGGGATAACAGCTGTTTTCAAGCTGGCCACACCCCCTTCAGGGTAGGGATCCCCGCTGGGGTGCCTGGCAAGCCTGGGTGAGGGGCTGATGGCTATTTACAGGCAGACCAGGGCCCCAGGGCCCCAAGCTCCCAGGCCCTCCTTTTATTCTTTTTTTTTTTCAGAGCCTGCTTGAGCAGAGGGAAGCAGGAGTCTGGGATTTATTTATCTTCCAGGGCTTTCGGGAAGCTTGGCTTCCTCCATTGCCGGTGGGGGGGGGGGAGGCAACCCAAGCCTCCTGCTCGCTCCAGCTCTGTGGTCACAGCCATTTTGGTTGGGTTAATTTGCATACTCACTCCTGATTGGCTGGTGGGCATGGTTTGAGGGCATAGCAGAGGTACAGTCAATTTGCATTTTTCTCTTTTATTAGATAGGGTACTACAAATCTGGAAATAACCAATTTTATAGAGATCAATAGATGAAGTTGCTATTAATAGAACACAATACTACTCAGCAATAAAACAAATTCAATATTCACATAAGCATTTATATTGGATCTCAAAATATCAGTGGCATTAAAGAAATAAGTATTTATAAAAATACACAATTATAGTACATATAAAATTATGAAAAATATGAACTAATATAATGTAAAGGATGGAATATGAATGATTGCATGAAAGACAGGGAAAGTCAGAAAGAGAGATTATAAAAGGGCGGGGGAAAATATAGAGTGTGGGAAATGTAGGATTAGATTTGTGGGTATGAGAAATAACTAATATATAAATATACCAGAATAAACTTTGTTTTCACTGTGTACCTCAGCTGGGGGGGCGTGTCATCCAGTGCACTGAAACGTTTTGGTTCAATTCCATGTCAGTGCACATACCAGCCTGGATCCCCAGTAAGAGATGTGCAGGAGAGAGCTCAGGTATGTTTATCTCTCTTTCTCGTCCCTCCTCTTGTCCTTAAAAAAAACTTATTTTTTAATGATATTTTTTAAAAGCACAAGCGGTGCGGTTTGTGTACTCACAACAGAAAGTCTACTTATGCCACACCTTGAATATAGTGACAGATAAGATTTCACCTGTGGTGGTTTCACAGCTTTATCTGTAGGTCAAGACTCACAAAATAGCACACATTAGAAAAGTGCACTTCCTTGCATGTCAGCTCTCATTTCCTGGAAGGAAGAGCTTTGCCTCATTGGCAGCAAATATTAGCAAGCAGTGAAGATTACTGCCATGGGATTCAACAGAAAATGTGATTGTTACAAAAGACACATACTGGGACTCATTACAGGATGATCTCTCCTCCAGCCTTGAGTTCTTACATATTGAGAAATAACCTTGAGGTGAACACCATATACAAACCAGGGGAATCCACAAAACCATTAAATTATTTTCTCTGCCCATGACTTCATATACAAGAAAAAGTTTTGGAGGTGCTGAGAATGTCTATATACAGAGTTCACACAAGTCACAGGCCCAGTAACATTTGTGGATTTACATTCAAGAGACACTTTCCATCTAATTTGCTGCACTCTCTCCCATCACTATGAATACAGTGTGTCTGTAACAATAGTAGGTTACCTCAGAGTCTTACAACAAATGTCACAAGACTATAACATTTTGTACTTCATGGTACATGGTTCCTTTGCAGTACATGGATAGAAGTTCCCCCAAACATTGCAAAGACTGATGTAACACATATTGTGATCAGAGAACACAATTCGTATTGTTCACAGAAGGACAGCAAAAATCTCCTTTTCTGGGTGACCATTGAACTCACCAATAACCAAGGTCCCGGGATGTAAATTAAAACCACAAAGTCATGCTGTCTTTCTTTCAAAGCCTTGGGCAGCAATACAAAATAAGCCAGTATGGGACAAAGTGATTTTTCTGCCATCATGCTCTCCCTTCTGAAGCAATGAAGGTTTGACGTCCCCACAATATCTGTTCACATCTACATCCTGACAGATCACAACAGTGCTTTCAAAACATGGCAGGAAGTGAATAGAACCAACATAATGAAAGGTACAACAGGAAAAAAAAACCCTTTACTGAGATATCATAAAGCATACCCAGCGGGGTTCAGATTGGTGAAATAGAATCTAAGCCAGGGGTGGGCAAACTTTTTGACTCAAGGGCCACAATGGGTTCTTAAACTGGACTGGAGGGCTGGAACAAAAGCATGGATGGAGTGTTTGTGTGAACTAATATAAATTCAAAGTAAACATCATTACATAAAAGGGTATGGTCTTTTTTTTTTTTTTTAGTTTTATTCATTTCAAACGGGCCGGATCCGGCCCGCGGGCCGTAGTTTGCCCATGGCTGATCTAAGCCAATCATCACAGCATAATGTGAGAACCACCTTAAGTGGTACTACTTCTTTCCTGCAGATGGGTATTCTGGACAAACCCTGAGTCAGGCCCATTCCCTAGTCAGAGAGGAAGGAGTGAAGATCCTGCCAAGAGTTCAGAGTATTTATTTATTTAATTAGTTTTAAATCAGAGATTTTATTTAAATTTTGCCATTTGTTCTTTCATAAAAAAGATATTTTAAAATTTATTTCAGAGAAGAAGGGAGAGGTAGAGAGATAGGAACATCAATGATGAGAGGGAATCATTGATCAGCTCTCTGCTGCATGCACCCCCCGCCCCCCCCCCCCCCAGGGATGGAGCCCACAACCCCAGCATGTGCCCTTGACCGGAATCCAACCCAGAACAATTCTATCTGCAGGCCAACATTTTATTACTGTGCCAAACCAGCTAGAGTGTGTTCAGAGTATTTAGAATTTACTCAAGCACAAGAGAACATGCAGGGTTTGTAACTGATTCACACTGTTCAGGTGAGCCAGTGGTAGAGATGAAATCACGTCAGCCATAAACCCTCACAGTGACATCAATCACATAGTAGACCTGGGCAGGATAGCAGTGCAAGCAGCTCCTTAAAGCCTCACTTGTATCTGAAACTTATGAGGAATCTAGAACTGTGTATGTCCTAATAAAAATGGATCATATTTAGGCAAATGTGTAACAGAGTAACCTTCAGTGATGTTATTCTGGATAAGAAAAAGGAAACATTTAAGTCTTTTCTCCAGTGTGAAGACTCAGGTGTCTTATAAGGCTACATTTTTTGGGTAAATGAGTCCCCACAATCTGTGCATTCATAAGGCTTTTCTCCAGTGTGAATTCTCTGATGTTGGATGAGGATGGAACTCTTACTGAAGGACTTCCCACAGTCTTTACACTGATATGGATTTTCTCCAGTGTGAACTCGCTGGTGATTAGTGACATCAGACTTATATCTGAAAGATTTTCTACAATATCTACATGCATAAGGCTTTTCTCCAGTGTGAATTCTCTGATGGCGAATGAGGGCAGAACTCTGACGGAAGGACTTTCCACAATCTGTACACCCATATGGCTTTTCTCCAGTGTGAATTCTCCGATGGCGAATGAGGGCAGAACTCTGACTGAAGGACTTTCCACAATCTGTACACCCATATGGCTGTTCTCCAGTGTGAATTCGCTGGTGTTTTTTGACATCAGATGTATATCTGAAGGACTGCCCACATTCACTACACTTATAAGGCTTTTCTCCAGTGTGAATTCTCTGATGTTGAATGAGTTTAGAACTCTGACTGAAGGACTTCCCACAGTCTGTACATTCATATGGCTTTTCTCCTGTGTGAATTCGCTGGTGTTTATTGACCTCAGACTTATATCTGAAGGACTTCCCACATTCACTACACTTATAAGGCTTTTCTCCAGTGTGAATTCTCTGATGTTGAATGAGTTTAGAACTCTGACTGAAGGACTTCCCACAGTCTGTACATTCATATGGCTTTTCTCCTGTGTGAATTCGCTGGTGTTTATTGACCTCAGACTTATATCTGAAGGACTTCCCACATTCACTACACTTATAAGGCTTTTCTCCAGTGTGAATTCTCTGATGATGAATGAGGTTAGAACTCTGACTGAAGGACTTCCCACAATCTGTACATGTATATGGCTTTTCTCTGGTGTCAACTCTCTTATGTTGAATGAGGTTAAAGATTCGTCTAAAAACTTTCCTACATGTGTCAAACTCATAAATCAATTCTTCAGAAGAGACACTCTGAGATTCAACAACTTTCTGTTTCTGACCGGCAGCTATTTCACATTCAGCCCACTGGTGATGACTTTTTGCACTGAGATATTCTTGTGAAACCTCACTGCCACAGTGTGGCTCCTCGGTGTTCTGAGAAGCCTGGGGCTGGAGAAGCTCTGAGGGAGCTTGGACGTCTTTCCTAACCTCCCTGTTCTTTGAAGGCACCTCTGATAAGTAGAAGCTGCTTCTGGTCACAAATGAGGGCCTGTTCATAGCTACTTTCCAGGACATCTCTCCACTAGCATCCCTCTGTTGCTGGTGAGGGTTTGCACTGAAACAGAAGTCTGTCACACATGCCTCACTGAAGAAGCATTTGTGCTCAAAGTATTCTGCTTGTGACTCAGTCAGGTGCATAATATCTTTTAACGCTGAGAAACACTGTTTACAGGAATGCGACTTCTGGGATGCTGAAGCTGTCTCAGAATCCCTGACATGTGACTCTTCTTCTATGGATACACTCTGATCAGAATAGGCCTCCTCATCATTCATTTTATGCCTACAACCTGAAAACAGAAAAAAGGTGAGGAAATGAACGAAGACTGCAGTGACAGGGGGAAGCTCCATTACAAAGTAGGTGGCCCATGACAGCTGGGCTCCATGCAATTTTCAGAAAAGAAATGATGTGCAGTATGCATTAATAAGAGGCTTCTGTGAAGTTCTGGGCCTCTGCAGATCGTAAAAGAAGGAAGGCTACACCGGGAATCTGACACAAAGATGGCAAGTACTACATGGAAGAGAGTTTAGACTTCCAGCCCTTCCTTTAGGCTAACAGTGTTCAGTAGGGCTTGTCTGCAGGTGACATAGGCAAGCTCTGCAGAATTTTGCTTATATCTTATTTAAAGAAAAGTTCAATAAACAAGTAGCTAATATTTAAAACCTACTTAAGCATATATGTGCACTTCATAACACATGTGTAAGTCAGTGTTAAAGAATACTGCAGAGGCAGCAGTGCAGAGGAACAGGTGATGTAAAAATGCCACAATGTTAACATAGCACAAATCCAGGAAGTCACAGGTGAAGTGACATGTCAGATAGAGTAAAGTAGGTAAAAGATAAGGTAGGAATGTGGTGTAGCAAGTGGCACTTGCATCTGAACACTGATTGGAAAGAGCTGGTTCCTGGTATGAAGGAGGGTCTTACAAGAACAGCCCATGGTTCATGCAAGTAAAGACCATAGTCTGGCACAGACAGTCACCCAGGAGTTTAGCTATAGGAAAGGAGCAGAGGTGGAAACCATGGATCCGAATATAGTCATCCTCCCAGGAAGAGAAACAGCAGATGGGATCCATTAAGCTGTCTGTAAGACCCCTGACTCCCAGAAATTTCCTGCACTTCCTGAGGCAAATGCTGTAAGAGAAGTTTGTGGAGTCTATTGCTCAGGGCTCTTCACAGAGCTCAGCACTGGCAGCCACAGCACATTTGAAAAGCCAGTGAGGAATATTTGAAGAACCCATGGTCTGGCTGTGAGAGAGAGAGTGCTATGCCTGGAGAATACAGTAAGAGAGAACATCACCTCAGGACACTAGGAGAGATGATGTGAAAGTCTTACCTACAGATGCTACAAGAGCAAACACTTCCAGCATCACGTCACAGTACAGACGTCTCTGAGCCTCCTCAAGGATCTCCCACTCCTCCTGAGAGAAGGCAATGGCCATGTCCTCAAAGTTCATATCCTGTCATAATGGAGACAGTACATCCCATGATAAGATTCTCTCTTGAGATTCCAAGTTTGCCATACTCCCCACCCTGCACATCCATATGCTCCCCTACTCCCTATAACAGAGAACAAAGCAGGACTTGGTCCCATCAAAGTCAATCTCTCCTTATATTCTTACTGATGCTGTGTCTTCCCACAATAAAGGCAGATGAACAGATACAAGATACGTGTGCTCTGATCCTCAAATAGGAGTCACACTGCCCCTTTCAATAACAGGGGGTGTCAGGCACACAGGGTAGGAAGAGATGTTGCACATATGGGAATGGGATGGATTTGACACTGGTGTTGTCAGGCAATATCCATGCTGTCCTCCTATTGTCCCTCCAAGACACCAAACAACATAATAATACCCATTATACTTCTGATTCCAATCCCAGTTTGCTAAGGCCATCACTTTGTATTACCTGCTGTTCATAGTTCTTTGATTCACACTTCTCTCACACAGCTTCATTCCCAGAGGCACAACTTCACTGGGAACACAAGTAAGCCATGACAAGGACAGGGTGTTTTCTAATTAGCTTTTTTCCCAAAATTCTAGTTCACCACTTCTGTAATACATTTCTCTCTCACCCTTTTCTCTTCTCCCTTCCCCATGCCGGTGGGGACTTTCAAGTGCAGGTGACATGGATGTGTGCTATCTCATTCCTATGGTTCACTGGGTCTGCCCTCAACAAGAAATGGCAGGTGGGCACATATATGGCCTCTAAGCTCTGAACCTGTCATGTAGCATCACAGCAACCCGTCATGTTAGAAATTATCTTAAACTTCCCCCTATCATACTATAAAGACACGATCAGAAATGGACTCCCTTTACATTCACTTGTCTGTCAATGTTAGTACCTGGCCGCTTTGCTTTTAGTCCCAGGGACCACACTGATGTCATCATCCCCTGTGGGTGATTGTGCAGCTCAGGAAGGGTTCCCCACCTGCCACACTGACATAGATGACACCTCCCATACTGTTCTCTGGGTCACTGAATGCTCTGCCCTCAAGAGAACCTTGGCTGCTTGTCACCAGAGGTCCCTAGGCTGTGCTGCTGTTCAGATGTGTGTAGACTGACTAGGTGATTGAAACACATATATGGATTTCAGAGAGAGATAGGATATACATATACATATACATATACATATACATATACATATACATACACATATACATATACATACATACTAATAAAAAAGTAATATGCTCATTCGACCGGGAGACCTTCCAGAGACCTTCCGGATGTCCTTCTGGACAAAGCTGGGGGCTTGGCTGGCCTGCAAAGCAACCCAAACGTCCACAGCCCTTCGCCCAGGCTGGCCACACCCCACAGTGGGTACTGTAACCTCGATGGGGGCATGGCCAGCCTGCAAACGGCCCTCAGCCCCTTGCCCAGGCCGGCAACACCCCCCATCTTGGACCCTCACCGTGATGGGGGTATGGCTGGTCTGCATACCAACCCAGTTCCTCACCCAGGCCAGCACCACCCCCAGAGGGGACCCCACATATGCGGTAGAGGGTACAGGATCTGTTGCAGGCCTCTCTACTTTCATAAACCACCCCAACCACCCCAGGCCCCTCACGCAGGCCAGCTCCGCCCACCCAAGGGACCCCCACCCTGATCCCGGACACCCTTCAGGGAAGACCAGCCAGCCCCCATTTGTGCACTAGGCCTCTACTATACTAATAAAAGGGTACTATGCTAATTAGACCGGGAGACATTTTGGATGTCCTTCCTGACAAAGCCATGGTGGCGGGTCTGAGGCAGAGGCAGTTAGGGGTGATCAAGCTAGGAGGGGAGGGCATTTGGGGGTGATCAGGCCGGCAAGGGTTCAGTTGGGGGCAAGCAGGCCAGCAGGGGTAAGTCAGGGTATCAGG